TAATTAAAATTAATGTGCTTATTTTTATTGTGATTTGTCAGTGTGATCTGATTGAGAAGTGGAGATCACATCTCTACAACCCCAGGATATTTCAGCCATTAAAATCCATACCCAAATGTCCAAGTTTTGAATCGAAACCATAAAATAATGCTGGAGTTTTTGTAAGTTGTTTTTTTAAATGTCTGTCTGTCTGTCTGTCTGCCTTTCTATCTGTCTGTCTATCTATCTATCTATCTAAATAAATTGAGATAAATGCTTAAATGTGACTAAAAGCCTTCAGTCAGCTCTACAGTCCAACAAATCTGAACACAATTTAACACAATAAAATGAATGATCACATCAGCGTATCAATCTTAACGAGGAACAGCATTTTTCTCAACGACACACAATATAAATTAATTCAATTAATGCTCACATCTGATAGAGCCAATCAACCCTTTCCATCAGGTTATGCCATGGTAATTGAAATTAATGTGCTTATTTTCATTGTGATTTGTCAGTGTGATCTGACTGAGAAGAGCAGATCCTATCTCTACAACCCCAGTATATTTTAGCCATTCAAATCCATAACCAAATGTCCAGGTTTTCAATCGATATCACATGATAATGCTGGAATTTAGAGATTGTGGGAAGAACTGCATCACTTGATCCTCTTTGTTTTGGCAGCATTTATGAGTAAACTGAGAGAGCAGATGGGTTTTTACCAATCCGGGCTCATTGTCAGCTTCACTGCTGATAAGTTTAAAGTAAGTGATTTAAAGCCTGACATACAGTTGAAGTCCGATTTATTAGCTCTCCTGAATTATTAGCCCCCCTGTATATTTTTCCCCCAATTTCTGTTTAATGGAAAGAAGAACTTTTTCAACGCATTTCTAAACATAATAGTTTTAATAACTCATTTCTAATAACATAATTTTCTGATATTTCTAATAACATTTCTTTGCCATAATGACAGTAAATAATATTTTAGATATTTTTTCTAGATTAAAGTGACATTTAAAGGCTTAATTGGGTTAAATAGGCAAGTTAGGGTAATTATGTAAATCATTGTATAACAGTGGTTTATTCTGTAGATAATCCAAAAATACAGCTTAAAGGGGCTAATAATATTGACCTTAAAAGGTTTTTAAAAAAGTTAAAAGCTGCTTTTATTCTAGTCGAAATAAAACAAATAAGATGCAAAGAGGTTAGATTCATAGGAATGTGTGTTTTACAGCTATTATTTCTCTTTATTAGAAAAATATAAATTACCTGGAATTGGAAAGTGGATTAAAGAAATGATGTCACAAACAGTTGAAACCAGAAGTTTACATACACTGTATAAAAAGGCACATAACCATTTTTAAAATGTCAGATGTTAATGTGACTAAAGATTGAACTGTTTGGCCATAATGACCACTGTTACATTTGGAGGACAAAGGGTAAAGCTTACAAGCCTAGGAACAACATCCCAAATGTGAAGTATGGGGGCGGCAGCATCATGTTGTGGGGCTGTTTTGCTGCAGGAGGGACTGGTCCACTTCACAGCATAGATGGCATCATGAAGAAAGAACATTAGGTAGAAATACTGAAGCAACATCTCAAGACATCAGCCAGGAAATTAAAACTTGGCCACAAATGGGTCTTCCAAACAGACCATGACCCCAAGCGTACTGCCTAATTAGTTAAAATGTGCTTTAAGGACAACAGAGTGAGTGTTTTGGAGTGGCCATCACAAAGCCCTGACCTCAATCCTATAGAAAATTTGTGGGCAGAGTTGAAAAAGCTTGTGCGAGCAAGACAGCCAACAAATCTGACTCAGTTACACTAATTCTGCCAGGAGAACTGGGCCAAATTTCCTGGAAATTATTGTGAGAAGCTTGTGGAAGGATACCCAAAACATTTGACCAATGTTATAAAGTTTAAAATCAAAGCTAAAAAAATACCAAGAAATAGTATGCAAGCTTTTGACTGTCTAGAAATGAATAATAAATTCTCATTAAAAAAAATAAATTCTCTCATTATTCTGGCATTTAGCAAATGTAAATCATTTAGGTAATCCTAACAGACCTAAAATAGTAAACGTTTAGTATTATTTACCATCAGACATTTTAAAAAAAATAGTTATGTTCCTTTTTTAGTGTTTGTAAACTTCTGGTTTCAACTGTATGTTAATGGAAAAGATCACATACATTGTCAAAAAGAAACAAAATGTGTTTGAAGATATCTAGAGACCTTTTAATAAATCCTAAAGTTCAATGTAAATGTTGGCAGCCTGCTACAACAAGAACAAGCTCTGAGGGAGTAGTATCATGGTCTAAAGATAGACTTGGGAAACACTCTTTACCTGATTTAAACATACCCCCTTTCTTTTTGTTTTGTTCTTGTTTTGTTTTTAGGGAACAGGATGATGGGAGGGAGAATAGGGTGTAAAATGTTAGCTGTGTCTACATCATAGGTCTCAAACTCTATTCCTGGAGGGCTGCAGCTCTGCACAGTTTTGCTCCAACACTAATCAAACACAGCTGATCCAACTAATCAAGGTGTTTAAGACTACTAGAGACTATTAAAGAGGTGTGAGTTGGAGGTGGTTGGAGCTAAACTATGCAGAGCTGCGGCCCTTCTGTAATTGTGTAAGCTGTTGTGATATGCAAACTGAAAAAAATTATAAATATATTGAAAATATATTTAATATATCAGACTTTCTCCAGAAGAAAAAATGTTATAGGAAATACTGTAAAAAAAATCTTTGCTCTTTTAAAAATTATTTAGGAAATATTTGTAAAACATTTTGCCTTCAATTGAACGTCATTTAAAAAACCCTGCGATAATATTATTCCGAAGCACATTTAAATTCCCGTTTTCTTTTTTATAAGCTCCACTTTGGTTTCATTGATAATTTCTGGAGCACAGCCAGAGCGGTTGAATGGCTCGGTAAGGTTGCCAGGGACGAAAGCATTCACAGACATGGAGCAAATTAACTATGAGATGTTTATCTCGGCACGTCCAATCAGCTTCGCTCTATGGGTTGCTATGGATGCTTTACACTATTCTGATTCAAAGTGTCAGCGGATGAACAGAACAAGAGTGTCAAGTTGTGCACCAAGTTTCCTCCTCGCAGGGAAATGCCACGCAATTGTCAAGCCTGAAAGGTGCTCCAAAGGCAAGGATTGTGCTATTGATATGTAATTATTCATGAAGCCTGAGCGTTATTTCTCTCTGGCTTGATCTGGCATTGCACATTTGAGAATTCATAGATTAGTGTTATTGCATTTGAGATGGCTTTGTTTTTTTTGGGCTTTTTTCAGGGTTTCCGCAGGGTCTTAAAAGTCTTATAATCTCTCAAATTCACTGAAATATTGTCTTGTAGGTCTTAAATCATTTTAAACTGGTCGTAATTGTGTGCTTTGGTGGATTTGCTCTTCAGTGTTTGAACTTTCAGCAGTGAAATTTAAACCACACTGAACTGAACTTAACTGAACCTCAACTCTGAAATCTGGACTTTACAAAAACTCTATGATGCTGCTTTGACACAATCTACATTGTAAATATAAAAATACACATGAATTGAATTGAACTGAACACATTTTCCTTTGTTTATATAATTTCCCAGAGATGGGTTGCGGCTGGAAGGGCATCCGCTGCGTAAAAACTTGCTGGATAAGTTGGCGGTTCATTCCACTGTGGCGACCCCTGATTAATAAAGGGACTAAGCCAAAAGGAAAATGAATGAATGTTTATACAAATCCAATCAATCCAACACTATCTAATCCCCAACAACACATCTCAATTAAACGTTATAATATAAAACTAATATTATAACAGTCTGTTGTGTATACATTTGGTTTTTTTAAGTTACACTATGTTGAAAACAAAAAGTAAACAACTAAGATCAACTTGTTCTTTAGCTAAAAAATTACTAATTAATTATTTTTTTCTTCCGGGTCTTTAAAAAATCCTTAGCGTTTAGCCCCATAGAAGTATAAAATGTCATTCTTCATAGTCTTAAAATGGCGTTGAAGTCTTAAATCTCTGAGTAATTTTTGATCCACTTTTGCAGTTTGACAAGCATGTAAATGCAGTTGTGTAGAGCAGCTTTTTCCAACTGAGATTGGTGGCAAAGTTAAACCATTTCTTTAAAAAAAAATAAAAAAAAGATCTAGAAACTATAACCCATGCCTTAATTTCCTCTCGGTTGGACTACTGCAACTCCTTGTACATTGGTCTATCCCAGTCAACACTCTCTTGATTACAGTCGGTCCAGAATGCAACCGCCAGATTAATAACAGGAACTTAGAAAAGAGATCACATCTCCCCTGTACTCACCTCATTGCCTTGGCTTCCTATAAAACTCAGAGTTGATTTTAAAATCCTTCTTTTCACATATAAAGATTTGCACAATTCTTCCCCGGTTTATGTCAGTAGCTTATTAGGCCATATACAGCTTATAGACCATTGAGATCCCATGATCAGTTTCTTTTGACGATCCCTCTGTCTGGCTGCAAATCAAAAGGTGACCGAGCTTTCTGTCCAAGACTCTGGAACAGTCTTCTGTTGAACATCAGGATTTCTCCATCCTTGAATACTTTTAAATCTAACTTAAAGACTTATTTTTACTCCCCCCTTGCCTTTGAGTGACTTATACATGTAATTCTTATCTGTACTTTAGCATTACATATATATTTCCGTTTCTTACATTTTTAATACAAGTTTTATTTTATTGTCTTAAATATTTTAATTCCTTGTAAAGCACTTTGGATCAACTACAGTTGTATAAAATTGTGCTCTATAAATAAAGTTTCCCTTGCCTTAAATTTCATTTGGTGAAACCAGCAGAAACTCTGTTTTTAAAGGTGAATGTTCGAAAACAATATGTAGTTTTTGGTGTTTTTAATTGAATAAAATGGATTTTATATACAAATAAAGCATGTTTAATACACGTGTCAAATGTTACAGATAACCTTTGAGAGTAATGTTGATAAATTGATAAAGTGATTCACCCAGAAATAAAATTTACTCACCATTTATTCACCCTCGAGTAATTCCATACCCATAGAGGATTTCTTTTTCTGCTGAACACAAAAGAAGACATTTAAGAAACATTGACTTCCATAGTAAGAAAAACAAATATGTGGAAGTCAATGATTACGTGTCCAACTTCTTTCAATGGAGCAAAATTCTTTGGTTTTCAACAGAAAAAAAACTCCAATCAGGTTTGTGACAAGTGAGAGATGAGTAAATGATGACAGAGATTTCAGTTTTGGGTGAACATTTTTGTATATTTAAGTAGAAATTAAAGACCTGAACTTATTTAAATATTTAAAAGAATCAGTCATGACGCACATTTTTCTTATATTTAAGATGATTAAACCCCTTCTGCTGATAAATGGGTAAAAGGTGAGTGTTTGAAGAGTTGTGCTGAAATTTGAAATTATTATTTGGGGCTCCACTGTCATCCCATAGTTCATCCAAAATGGGAAATTCGGTCAATGTTCATTCACCCTTCACTTGTCACAAACCTGTTTGAGTTTTTTTTTTTTTTTTTTTTTCTGTTGGACACAAAACAAGTTTAGTAAAATAAGTATGTAAACATTGACTTCAATAATTTTTGTTTTTCCGGCAACACTTTGCAATACAAGACACAAAGCTAGTGTTAGCTAATTTATTTGAAGAGGTCAGATGCAAAAATCTCTGAATTTTTGTCCTAAAATTAGCATTTTTCTCAAACTCCTATGTATAAGTTGAGTAATTTCCCTTTTATGTCAATTAATACGTTATTTTCATTGCCTTTAATGTGAAATAAGTGAACATAAACAAATGAGTCTCAGAGAAATGCTTATTTTAGATGAAAATGTCAGATGACACTGAGGATTTTGCACCTGAACCCTTCATTTACTAACATGAACAAACAATGAACAATGCATGTACAGCATTCATTAATCATAGTTTAACATTTACTATTGCATTATTAAAATCCAACATTGTTAACTTTAGTTAATGAACTCTACATCAACAGTGAACACCTGTATTTTCATTAGTTAATGTTAGCAAACATGAATAAATAATTTAATAAATGTGCACTCTAAAAAAGGTTGAGTTATTCATTTAACCCAATGGAGAAGTTAAAGATATTTGGTGCTTTGTTGGGTTATTTTTAACTCAACCAGTTGGGTAAAAGTTTTTAATTTCAACAGTCTACTGATTTAACTGACACAGAACAGCTGTATTAATATGCTTGCGTAATGCTTTTTTTGCGATATAACGTATATTTAAGCTCTAATAATTTTTTTTTAACACATTGCCTCTCTGTATCGTTTTTTTATGTCCGTTTCACCAGCACTCTTAATTATTGATGATACAAACTCGCGCTTCGTAGCCGATCTATAGTAAGTGGATAAAAACGTTGTGTTGAACTTAAAAAAATATTATAAAAAAGACTGCATGTTATTTATTTACAAAGCCATAATTATCAAATTAATAGTAGTACTAGTAAAAGTAGCAATAGCAATACCAGAATGAAAAAAAAAACATTTATTGAAAATAACCCAATGGATTGGGTTAACTTTTATAACCCACACTCAAAAATATATATTTTTTTACTTGTTCAAACTAAACTAAAATGAGCTGAAATAACACAATTCTTGAGATTTCATTGGGACAATTAAAATTTTTTATGTTCAATTCACATAAATTTGTAAAAAGTGTTAACTTAATCGATTTGTGTTGAGATCACATGAATGAATTGTGTGGAACCCAGCATTTTTTATTTTATAGTGCAATGCATTGGATTAAAATAACCCATATTGGGAAGGTCTCCTCTAGTTGGGTTATATGTTGAGGTATTTTTAACTCAGCTATTTTAACTGAGTATTGTGCATTGTTTGTTCAAATTAGTAAATGCATAACCTTATATGTCCCGTAATGTAAAATGTTACAGTTTTCCTGTTATGCAAGTGATTGGTTACCCTTTTCTAACATTCTTAAAAATATCTTCTTTTGTGTTCAGAAAAAAAAATGAAAAAAGAATCTTAAGGTTTGAAACCACTTGAGAGAAAGTAAATAGTGGATATTTTTTAGGCGAACTCTCCCTTTAAATAGTCTTTTAAGGTTGATATTTTATACTTTTTATAACTATTGTTACACTGAATGACATTTCCGTGTGAGTGTCTTCTGTAAATCATGGTAATTACATCATCTGTTAAATGGCAACAAAATAAAACTCTATTTTAATGCATTCATTAAATTCCATTAAATTTGAATTTTTATTTAATTAAACTGCATGCATTTTACTATAGCTTTATTCATTTGATTATTTTTTTATGTTTGCTGAAATCATTGATTTTTCTTAATTTCAGCATGTCTGAAAAGCCTTTCTGATGTATAGCTGCAACTTCCACATGCACAATCTGAGCGACATTAGTCTGAAATATTAAAAATGAATACATAACCTGATTTACAGAACACATGTGCATTAATACCCGAACTTAAACCCAATGTAAAACCGGCTGATGGTGTTTTTTATAATTCTTATATTGCATTCAAATCAGCGATTAAAGCTCTAAATATATTCTAACAATGCAAGAAATCCCAAAGCCAAAAACAAGAAAAGCAAACCTTAAAATATGACTTCTGCATAATGCATAATGTCAGTACTGATCCTGCCTATCGGAGGCAACAGAAGTTGATCAGAGAGTTGAGCGTGTCGGATTGTCACTCACATTTCTTTTGTGCTCTAATATCAAAAAACAAAGGAGCAACATCTCATTGACATTCAAACGCAAGCCTGTCCTGTTTGTATTCCATCACACGACATGGTTTGTGCTTAAGAAATGCCAAAGCATCCGTGCACGCGCCAGATAAGGCAATTCTCCGGCACTTACGCTTTCTCTGATTATTGTTGCACGCAATAAATCGCCCACTTTAATATAATAAACACTTCCCCATGCTAAACATTCCGACATGCAACTGCATTTAAATCGTCATGCATGCTTTGAAATGCTTACGCGCGCATGCATGTGCTAATAAAAATACACACACGATTGCTTGCTTACCTGTGAGGAATTGAGAACTGTGTAAGTTGTTTGAAGAATGCAAAGTTGATAATGCTTTATAATTGGTGAGAAATCAGCTTCCATTCATGATGCCCCCACAGGTGCAGGTGTTTGGATCTGTCCTTGGTGCTGAAACAAAGACCTGATGAAGCGCAGGAGGTGATGATGAGGAGGAGAAGAAGAAGAAAGGAGGAAGAGCTTACCTGTGCACAGCGGAATTCACACGAAATGATGAATGCCTCCTCATTAAAAGCAACAAACACCACCTTCAGACCGCCTAAGTCCACTTAATGGTCAGTTCGGTGCCTTCTCCTCAGTCTCGGGCTTTTGTGTGAGCGCAAGAATTCTGTCCACAAACCTGCCATCGTGAGGGGTTTAATAAACTCAAACTAAATCTCCACGGATCCAGGGTTTGGCTCTCGCAGTCACGACTTTCCAAACTGAAACTTGAGAGTTTTTCTTTTTACTATTGAACAATATTGCCCGGGAATAGGCTGTTATTAACGGGCGCCTCAGTGACTGCCAATGGCAGGTCTCTCTGTTAATATTTAATCTTTTAATGTGGTAATCTTTTATCCTGGTGTTCAGGGTTCGAGCTTCGTGCATTCGTCAGGTTCGTGAGGAACAAAAACCCTCACGCCCCTTCTGTGGATATCTCTCTCTCTCTCTCTCTCTCTCTCTCTCTGTGTGTGTGTGTGTGTGTGTGCTATATCTGAATATAGGTGGAGTCACATCAGAGCTTGTCACGCTTGAAATGGTTTACCCAAATAATTTTAATAACGTTTTAGGTTACATTTAAACCGGCTTTGGTAAATATACGAGTTTAGTAATTTACCTTTCCTACACGTCTTTTTATTAGATTTTATATGATTTATTTGTTTCAAACGGAAAAACTATACACAAAACCCTTTTTTAAACAAAATACATTTCAACATGGTCGAAATGGAGCGGGATGAAGCGCAAGCTTATTGGTTTCCACACCCCATTATACCTCACACATCATTTGTTTATTACTTTAACTTATTTTTGTACTTATCTCTTTTTACACGAGACCTATGAGCTTCATGGACATGAGACTGAGTCAGTTGGCGTTTCTGTGTGGAGTTTGCATGTTCTCCCTGCGTTCGCGTGGGTTTGATCCGGGTGCTCGGTTTCCCCCACAGTCCAAAGACATGTAGCCGAATTGGGTAAAGTAGATTGGCCGTACTGTATGTATTTGTGTGAATAAAAGAGTGTTGGGTTGCGACTGGAGGGGCATCTGCTGTGTAAAACATATGCTGGATAAGTTGGCGGTTCATTCCCCGACCCCTGATGAATAAAAAAGGACTAAACCGAAAAGAAAATAAATAAATGAATGCACATAGCCCCCCCATCGTATCTCAAAACTTTTATTGGGGCACAACAGATTTTTACCGGGACACGTTTTTTTGCACAGCCGCCCATGCAAGATGCCGCCCTGGGCGATCGCCTATATTGCCCAAATCCCACTGCACTCCCCAAACACCTTTGAAGTACCAATATGGACCCTTTGCAATATTTGGAAAGGTACCGCCCCTTCGACAGCTCTCGTGGCTTTATTTCTGAGTGTTTACAGCAAGATTTAACATTTGCATGCTGTAGGTTTTTAAAAAAAAGCCAAACTAAAAAATAAGTTTTTATTAGCCAAGCTATTTTCCCCCTCAAACAAATATGCCATAGCTTTGGGTTCATATTTATATAGCTGTAATCTGATTGACGAGTTTAGGATTAAATTCAAACTTTACACTTGTTTTACATTAAATTAAGTAGGCCTATATGTAAACGTTTATCGAGACTTTTTTTTTTTAACCTTTTAACTGTTGTTTTTTGCATCTACAACTCATGAATGTTTAATGATGGAAGCACTAAGGCGGTTGGTGATTGGTTGTCTGCTATAATCACCTTTAAAATAAAAACACGTGAGCAGATTTAATTCCGCTTTCACGCATGCTGTCGGAATGGTCTTAAATCCGCGTTTATTCTTCGGAAATTGGACATGCACTGTCTCTAAAGTGATAGAGTAGTAAAATCAGAAGTAAAGTTACTTCTGGGATACTTCGAGATCATTTTGAGGCCAGATTTGGACAGGCCACAAACTTTAAACAGCGAAGATAACAAGTGGTGTGTGAGTGTGACTGGTAAGTTTTATCCAAAACCGCTATGTTTACCGTGTTGTTTCTACAATTATCTTGTCATTAATGTGGTGTGTATTGTTTTTTAAACGGTGTAAATTAATTAATAGCAGGTGTTTAACAGAAATTATCACTAGATTCTTGGGTATTTATATACGCTTTTAAATTGAATTATGAGGCCTTGATCTTTGACAACTTTGATTAATGTATTAATGTAAATGATGATACAAAACTGTTTACTACTGCTGTCAGTACATTTATTGTTGTTGTTGATATTTTTTATATTTTAAACAGTGACCAATGTTTCTGTAACTTAATTCAGTAGCTATAGTATCAGATTACAATGTGTAATTTTTGAATACAGATGTTTTGTGACACTGAATCAAAGTCAGTTTAGGTTAAATATTCTTATTAAACAAATGTTGAAACATTAATGTTAAACGAGTAGGCTAATAAAACATGCTACAAAAATAAAATGGATTAAACAACAAAACAATGTAGCATCTGCATGCTAATGGTGAAACAGATCACAAATCTCACTGTTCGGATCACATTATAGTTAGTTACTGATTGGACCATTTTTGGATCAGCCAAAAAGGGGAGGAGACAAATGTAATCTGCTTTCCATTTATCACAAAAATAGTACTGCAAGACACTTTTGGTTTTAACAAACAGAACTTAGAACCTGTTATTTTATTAAAAGTAAAAAGAAGAAATAATCGGCTGAATAAAAATAAATTGTAAAATATGCAGTACTGTGAAAAATTCACTGTTACTACTACTGTTGATGATAACGCTAAATGTATAAGTGTATATTTAGTATAAAATGTATATATTTAAATGTATATTTAGTCTCTTTCAATAAATGATTCCTTTATTCACTCAAACTTTTTCATTACTAGATGTATCACTTTTGAAGAAATATTCAAAGGATATTTTTGATGGCTGGTTGGTTAAATTGGTTAAATAATGTATATGCTGCCCACAACTTTCTTTTTTGTGCGTCATTAAATGCATATGATGGTTATTTTATTCTTTACCATGAACATAAGTGGTTTTATCTAAGCTATAAACTGTCATTCCAGTACTTCTGTGTTTTTTTTTTGACTGTTTGTAACTTCACAACCAACTCAAAAGACTAAAGACTGAATCTCTTAGGATTAATAAACATATGCAATTCACCATCATTTATAATTTATGTTGTGTGGGTGTTGAGATCCCAATCTTATAAAGAATAATCATACAGCTTACACTAAATGCATTTAAGCAGGATAAACTAGTGACCGAAAACACCTTAAATGAAACCCACTACATCCCGAATAACCTACCACAATTCTTTCCATCAACATTATATTTTATACTTTCATACATGTGATTTTAATCACGTGAGAGGCAATCTCTCTGCGATCGTTACAAATTTAAGATTAATCTACCAGTAAAAAAAATGTATTAATCTGCGGGTCACAGTGGGTTGTTATCCATACGGATCAACCATGATCCGTTACACCCCTACTGCATGCTAATGATTATTGAAGACTTTTCAGTCTACAAGACTACTGTTTTGTAATTAAACATTTTATGTGTCTGAAATGTATTTAAAATGTTTAAACTTAGAAGAACTTCTTAGATCATTGCGTTTCTCCATAAATACAGGCCATGAGATGCCTGTTATAGCCTAACAACCTCTTGAATCCAGCTCTATATCAAACACAGACGCCTAATTACATTTACATTTAAGCCAAAGCAAAGGAAACGCTGCCCACTTGCAGTTTTTCGAATCGCACCGCTGATTCTAACCCAAACTATTGAGAAAGAGCTCTTAATGATGAGGCCATTCATCTGTGCAAGACAGCATAAAAGAAGGTATAATTACGGTGAAACTTAACATACTGATGGTTCTCTGAAAAATGCGAGTTGGTACTGTATCAGCAGAAGCCAAATGCTTAAGCTTCAGGTTCCAGAACAGTGTGTTAAAAGCCCTCAAGCGCTGTCCAAGTTCACATTCTCAACCAATTAAAGGGGAATCAGGAGGGGGCCGATCGCTGACGGAGAGACACACACCAGCCAGAACACAGAGCTAGCTTTGTCTTCCATACACACAAGTAATTTGGATATTTGCAGAGAAATGCACACTCCCATAGTGGTGATTAGAGCCACAAACACTCGCAATAGATTATATAATAACCACCTCTAACACAAAGGGACCAATTTTGCCTCAGAAAAGAACATCATAATGGGCAGATCTTGAAGAAGGAGATGAATATAGGAGAAAGTTATGAGGAGTGCAAGGACACGCAGATATGATTGTCAGAAATTGCTTCAAACTTTTCCACCCAAAGTGGAAGTACAGTAGCTGTAATTTGTCAGATTCTCAGATCAGTCTGAAAGCGGGTGGTCAGCCCTCTGGAAATACTGTTTGTCTGATGCAACGGCATGTAAAACTGCTTATTGATATGCTAAATAACAACACGCTTGTGAAGCGTTCATGCAAGAATAACATGTATTTGTTATATTCGGTGGTAAAGTAAGCGTGAAAGTGCAGTTTATAAATAGGTCAGCCAGAATAATTGAGTCAGAAATGTTTCAAACCGGTGCTGCAGAAACTAACTGTTGATTGTTTAGGGTCAAAAGTTCTCCATCAATCAAAGTCAAGTATGAAGTTAAGATTTGACAATACTTGCAAGGGGTCAAAGCTTTGAAAGGTAGTTTAAAGCTATTAGAAGGTGTTTAAAGTTGTAAAAAATACTCAAATTTCCAATTTCCGTTGCTGTTTTGAGGGGAAATTTACTTTAAAAATAAATAAATAAATAAAACCACATTATTAGTGACTTTACATCAGATTTCACTTTAAGTTAATGTGAAAATAGTTTCTGTCAGTTTAATTTTTAGAGCTGGTGCTCTGAAACTAGCTCCAAACTAGGTGCAACACTCGTAAACGTGTCCGCTTCCGGTAATATCTTTTGTTTCAAGAGCTCAGTGCGCAACACCTCCTTAATCTCACTTTTCAGTGCATTACGAGAAATACTAATGCTAAAGAAATCTGTGATCAACAACAGATCATCTTTACGACACTTATCAAATTGTTTATGTGTGGGTGCAATCGTAAACCGATCCAATTCAAATTTTGACGTCATTGCACAAACACTTAATTTTCCTCCTACACAAAGTAAAAGCCCCAGGCAAACAATTAATTAAATAGTGCTTGAATGACTCTGCTTTATCTGTGAAAAATTTGGGAGTAGAAAAAAAAAAACATAGGACAAGCCCCCCCATTTCATGTTACGCCCCATCTAGGGGTTAGGATGCAACATGAAAGGGAAGACTGTACACGCAATGCTGCTAAGAAAATATAGATTTTATTTTCACAGTGATTTTCTCGAACAAAATTTGTCTCTTTTTTCAACTTCAGGAGCTGACCAGGCCAAAACAATAAACAAAACAAATAAAATTTTAAATCCCCTCTAAATTTCTTATTTTCAGCAAAAGTAAAGAAAATGAAATACACTTTCTTACCTCACTCCCCTGTCCAAAAACAATCAATAAAAGAAGGTACAAAAGAAAATGGGTCAAACTCCCTACTTACCAGGTACAAATATTTACAATCAGCTAACAAATCCAAAAGGGGCAAAACAGCAGAGTAATCATTTAATAGGCAGGGGTCAGATTTTCAATGTCAACAAAGCAAGAACTAAAGCACTAAATACTTTCACAGATTTTCTTAAGATACTTAGAAAAACTCCAATTCAACAAATCTAACTAACAAACACACAATTTCTTTCTATAATGGTAAACACACCACTACCAACCACAAGTGAGCTCAAACAGCTAAACATAAAGTGACAAAGGAAGAATTTATAGGCAGCCAGGAGTCAGCTGACTAGACAGGGTGTGGCATCAATTGGAGCAGGGGCAGGACCAAACAAAGGAGCAAGCAGCTGCTTCCTGCAGAGAGACACAAAAGACTGGCCAAAATAAAAAGAGCAGAATTAATACATAAAGGGACATTACGGTACACACTGTAAAAATATTTTTTTTAAAGTTGGAAGATTAGTAGGGTCGTCACAATACTGGAATTCGATACTTATCTGCAAAGACAGGCAGAATCTGCAGACATTTTTTGCTATTTCTGTAAGGAATTTTGTAAAACAATCTGTGGATTTATGTGGAATTATTTTGGGAGTATTGTAACTTAAACACTTTAAATAAAAAAATAAGAAATATTACCTTTTTAATTTGGGGCAGTATGATGGTGCAGTGGGCAGCACGTTGTCTCACAGCAAGAGGTCGAATGCCATGAGTGACACGATCATGATTAATTTTTAATCCGCAAAGTTGTAGTCAAGTCAAAAACAACTCCTCCAACAAGACAGTATGTTTGAAGTACGTAAGAGTAGTTTATACACTTGACCCTATCCATATACTTAAACTTCTTTCGATGTCTCCAGAGGCAATATTGTGATGTATTATTTTCAATTAGTGCCTACAGCGTCAACGACAGTGTGTGGATTACTTTGAAGCTGACTGTGTTCATGCGGCCTCTGAAAACGTCAGTGCAAAGAGACCCTAAATCGATCTCTTGGGAGAACAGACAATGGTTTTGATTTTTACAGAAAACAAAGAAAGCTGTAGGAGACACAATACAGAGAGGGAATTACAGAAGCCTGGGTTTTATAGAGAGCAATAACAACAAGACATCAAAGTTCTGAAGTTTATTGGTTGATTTGTAGTTATCAGTCACTACACTGAACTCTAACATCTCGAATGTAGTCTTGTGTTTTCTTACAAGAGAATAAATAATTCAAATTTTTAAATGTGTGTGTGTTTTTTTTTCTGCAGTTTTGCGTGTACTTTACTGCACAAGTTTTAGCTGACAAGACTTTAAAAGGCATTAAAAAGTATTTGTAACATTGTAAAGACTCCGCCCTTTATTGGAAAGTGGGCGGAAAGCTGGAGCTCATTTGCATTTAAAGTGACATTCCTAAAAAAACCCAAAGAAGGTGTTTACA